ACCCCACGGCCGGACGAATTTCCCTAGCTCACCGGGGTGTAGTGAGCTGGTGTGGCTCCCCGCCACCCCGGAGAGGGTCAAGCCCCGGCAAACTCTTGTACTGACCAGAACTGGAGTTCTCTGCCCCATGGAAAGTCTCTGGTTGTACCAGCTGCTGGTTCTTTTCCATTTGTTGATTTGTGTCTGTTGATTTGTGTCTGTTTTGTTTCTGTCTGTCCTGCGTGAAGTTCTTTGTCCTCTGGGAGCCATTCTGCTCTCTCTCCTTGCCCTTTTGATGTGTCACTCCCCTCTCCCAGCTGCAGACTCGGCTGGAGTCCACAGAATCCCGCCTGTGCCGCTCAGAGCACGACCACAGCACAGAACTGGAGAACACTCTTATCCGCCTGGAGGAGGAGCAGCAGAGGTGAGGCTGTCGTCTGTGTCCAAGGAGCACCTGTGGGTCCTCGTTATCCCTTGTACAAAGGAAGGGAGAGAGCAGGTTACACTAGAGCAGCGGTTCTCAAACTGGGATCTGTGGACCCTGGGGGTCTGTGAGGGTACTCCAGGGGTCCGCAAGTCATGTCTGGGACCACCAGCCCTCCCTCCCAGTGCTTCCTGCACACCGCTGAACAGCTGTTCCGTGGCATGCAGGAGGAACTGGGAGGGAGGGGAAGGAGCATGGACAGGCCGCGCTCGGGGGAGGGGGCGGGAAGAGGAGGGGCAGGGGTGGAGCAGGGGCGGAGCGAGATGGGGCAGGGTGGAACCTTGGGTGGAGTGGGGGCAGGGCCTGGGGCTGAGTGGGTGTTGAGCACCCCCGGGGAAAATTAGAAGCCGACTTGGGGGTCTGTGAAAAAATTTAAATCAAAATGGGAGTCCTCGGGTTGCTAAAGTTTGAGAACCGCTGCGCTAGAGCATTGCCTAGAGCTGGGTGTTACTCAACTGCCATCTAAGGGTAACAGCTTGCAGTCGTCTGAGCTGGATTTGAACTGGGGACCAGGAGGCAACAGGCTCTGTATCCCATTAGCTGTCCCTTGAACTCTCCAGCCCTAGCTGTAATTTTGGATGCAGGTGTGCAACATGTTTCCAGTTTGAGATTTCAGAGCCTGGCCATGTGGTGCAGCTTGGTGCTTTGATTTCTTTGCTCCATTCTTAGCTCTTTGCCGTTCTCTGCAGCAGACAGATACACTTGCATGTGTCTTTCCTCTCCTCCTGCACTGCAAAGCGGCTGAGGAGGTTGTTGTTGTTTTCTGTTTGTGACTCAGCCCTGCTGTGATCTCGCCCAGGGAGCTGAGTCACTCAGCAAAGGCAAGTGATGGGGGGTTGCTGTTCAGAATACCCCCACATATACAACAGTCTCCAACCAGCTCCATCAGCCAGCACCTACTGGGAGACCTTTCTACCACCTGCTGCTCTGTAATCTCCAGCTATCAAAGGGCTAATCTTCAGAAACCAGGAGATGAAATAGTGGCTGTTTTGGAGGCATTGTGGGGGCCAGTCCTGCACATATTCCTGCTAGGCAGCATGCTCAGGTGCCGCCTTTCTCAGTGTGTTTTCACCCAGGATCCCAGATCTACCTGTGGTTTCTTGCTGGGACCCATCAGGATGCAGGGTTGTGTCTGTGGTGGGGCTGTAGCAAGGTCCCCTGGGTGGAGTTTGGATGGGCTGCTGGTGGGAGGTGGCAGAAGGGAGGTCCTGGGGGATCCTGAGATGGGAGAGTTTAGTAGATGGAGGAGGCACCTTGAGAGCATTGGGAAGCGTGAGCCAGCACAGGATGTGGTTACCCATTCATAAATGGGGTGTGTCAAGCTGCAGACACAGCGCAGGGGGCCTGAGGTCTGCCCTGTTCCCTGCTGCTTTCAGAAATGACTTCAAGGCATTGATTTAAACTTATACAGGGTTTGGAGTGATGGTTGTCCCTGTGCTGATGTGGGGTTTGGGGTGACTTCTGTCCCCGTGCCAGAGTGGGGTTTGGGGTGACTTCTGTCCCCGTACCAGAGTGGGGTTCAGGGTGCCGCTGACTCCAGTCCCCCTGCCGAGGTTTGGTTTAGGGTAACCGCTGACTGCTGTCCCTGTGAGGATCCGGGGTTTGGGTTGACCGCTGACCGCTGTCCCCATGCGGATGCGAGGTTCGGGATGACTGCTGTCCCCGTGCCCAGGCAGGGTTTGGGGTGACCGCTGACTGCTGTTCCCCGTGCCGATGTTCATTTGGGCTGAAAGCTGCCTCTTCTCCCCATGCTGATGCGGGGTTTGGGGTGACATCTGACTGCTCTCCCCATGCTGATGGGGGGGTTTGGGGTGACTGCTCTCCTCATGCCATACTGCTGCTTGTGGGATGTGCAGAGATGGGTCCCATTGGAAAGGTGCGGCAGGCAGGGTGTTCTGATCTCGGGTCCAGAATGTGCTCCCTCCTTGGCCCCACAGAGTCAGGATCTGTGAGCCTCTCAGGCCCACTGCAGAGCCTGGCTATTTCCCCAGGCACTTGAGGATAAAGGTGTCTTTCTAAAAATGTGCTCTAGCTCAACCGGAAGTCATGGGCTTGCTGCAGGAATCACTGTGTGAGCTGCTCAGGCCTGTGCTCTGCAAGAGTTAGATTAGATAGCACAACGCTCCCTTCTGGCCTCAGCGTCTATACATCTGTGAAGGACGCAGCTCTCGGGCTAGCTGAGGGATCCCAAGTTGGGTCGTTGTCTGAGCTATGGCCACTCCATTTAGTTCTATGAATAGTGTAATATTTGTATACAGGTCCCTGAGCAGGGGATGGTGTTTCTCAATTGTAGCCCAAAGAAATTAATTCCCATAATGAGATGGGGATGATCATTCCCTACTTCCCAGGGCTGAAGGGAGGAACAATGTGTTAATGTTCATACAGTGCTTTGAGAAAAGCAGTGCTCTATACAGGTGCTAAGCATTATTATTGCCTGATGCCCTCTGACTGTGTGGCCATTAGCTCAGGGCCACTCGAAGGGCCTGGAACGGTAAGTGCAGTGAAATAGGTTTGGTGTCTCCACACCTTTGCTTCTGAAGGCTGGTCTGTTGCAGGAGCAGCACATGCCACACAGCTGTGCTCTGGAGATCAGAATCCAAGGCATGGCGACTGTATTCTCTTCATCCCCTTCCATAGGGGGGTAAATGTCCAATGGACTGAGCCTGGAGACGGAGTGTCCCACACAGGAGAGGGTGTTCCTGCTACTGGGGCAGGATTGCTGGAGCAAAGGGAGTACCTGGAGATCGGAGCTGCCTTCTAGTGCCAGTGCTGCAGCGCAGGGGAAACCAATGTCTGGCTTGTTCTGCCCTAGGAGCACCAGCCTTTCCCAGATGAACATGCTGCTGCGGGAACATCTGGACCAGATGAAATGCTCCAATCAGAGACTGGCGGGGGAGCTGGAGAAGGCAACATCAGACCTGCACAGGCTGAGAGGCGAGCTAGAACAGAGAGCATCCCAGTGGGGCAACAGCAGGGAGGTGAGTCCTTCTGCTGGGCATTGTGGCTTGTTTTTTTATTGTTGACTTCAGTGGAGTGATGCCAGTTTAGACCAGCTGGGGGCCTGGCCCCCTGACGTCAATGGAGCTGTGCCAATTTACACCGGCTCCATTTCTAAATCTGCCCATGTAGCCTGTTACTAGTCTGAGCTTAAACACAGCAGGGTGGGTCAAATAAGGTGACTTCCCTGGAGCTGAGAGCTGAACGTTCTGTTCTAGAGCCAATGCAGTTTAATAGATGTATTAATGACCTGGCTAGCGGGGGGTGCAGAGCAGTGAGGAGCACAGTCTGCAGATGACACGCAGTTATTTAGGGCAGCGAGGAGCAGAGAGCAACGTCTGAGAGACCTGAACAAGCCAGGGGAGTGGGCAGTGCAATGGGGATGAAAATCAGTGCTGATAAATACAAAGTGATGTACATTGGGGGGAAGATGGAATGGCGCATACACCTTGCAGGGTTCTCCATTAACTGTATCCACTCGGGAATGGGGGCTGGACGTCACTGCTGACAACTCAATGGAAACCTCAGTTCATTGTGCTGCGGGGGTGCACACACACTGAGTTAGGCTGCAGAAGGGACGGGATGGAGCCTGGGCCTCAGCCATGGCACTCCCTTGGTGAACTCCTGAATTCTGAGACGTCACCTCTGCCCTCACGTTCTGCTCTTATTTCCTCAGAGCTCTGGAACGTACTTAAGCAATGAGCACAGCGGGATCCTGCTGCTATGGCGCCAAGCTGCCACGCTGCGCAGTAACTTGGCGGAGCTGCGTGCCACAGCAGAGCAGTGAGTACTGCCTGGGCGGTGTTCTGCCAGGAGATTTTCCCCGCTATCCCTGATGGCCCTGTGGGTGGAAGCAGGAGGATGACGAGTGTGTAGATCTTGATAGCTGGTTCGCGTGCCAGCTCCGAGTAACCGTGCCCTAACCTGAATCCCCTCCAGAGGGTATGTAAATCTGATCCCGGGGACTGCCAAAGATGGAACGATACTAGCTAAGCACAGCCAGAGGGTCCTTGGATCACTCAGCTGACCTAAGCGAAGTCAGAAAGTGCCTGTGCCAACTAGGCGTGATCTCTGCAGCAAGTTCCCCAGGATGATAGCTGCACAGCTGTAACGATGCGGCCTCTGGCGGAACACTACTGAGAGTATCAGCTCAGGACAAATTGCTTAGAGCAGGGCAGTTACAGCCCAAAGCTGGAGTTCCTTTACTAACTATTAAGGCAAACCAAATCAGCCAAACAGAGAGACTTTGGTTTTACCCCACTGGCTAACCAGAAGTCATACAAGCAATTCCCTCAGATACTCCAGTTCCCTTGTATCACCACCAGCACCGCTCCTTATGGGGATGAATGGTTATGAAAATCAATAATCCAGTAAAATAAAAAAGGTTCTCTCAATCCCAAAGGACCAAGCCCCAGGCCCAGATCAATATACCAATTAGATCTTACCCACAAATCACACTGTTGCCAATCCTTTAGAATCTAAAATCTAAAGGTTTATTCATAAAAAGAAAGAAATATAAATGAGAGTTAAAATTGGTTAAATGGAATCAATTACATACAGTAATGGCAAAGTTCTTGGTTCAGGCCGGTAGCAGTGATGGAATAAACTGCAGGCTCAAATCAAGTCTCTGAAGTACATCCACAGCTTGGATGGGTCATTCAGTCCTTTGTGCAGAGCTTCAGTGTAGCAAAGTTCCTCCAGAGGTTAGAAGCAGGACTGAAGACAAAATGGAGATGATGCAGCTGCCTTTTATCGTCCTTTTGCCATATGGCTTGTGCTTCCTTTGTTCCAAACACAAGCCAACCAGCACATGGCATGGAAAAACCTTAGAGTTCTGTCCATAGGCATGTCCCTGCATGCCTTGCTGAGTCACAAGGTGTATCTGCCTTCTCTCAATGGGTCAGTTTTATAGCTGATGGTCCTTAATTGGCCATCAAGCAGGCTAGGCAGTGCTGACGCCAAATTGTCTGGGGTGTCACCCAGAAGCATAGCACAAGTTTGAAATACAGACAGTATAGAGCCAATACTTATAACTTTAAATACAAAAATGATACATGCATACAGATAGCATAATCATAACAAGCAAATCATAACCTTTTCATTGACACCTTACGTGACCTCCTTTGTACAAGATTTGGTGCCACTATAGGACTTTGGTTGCAACAATGATCTATACGGTCACAGTTCATATTAATAACGTCACAACAGCCAGACAGGGGATTGAGCTTCCAAAGGAGAGGCACTGGATCTGGTGCCCCCAGGAAGTGAGTCATGCCAGGCTGTCCTGAGTAGGTTTCCATTGCTGGGGCCCTGGTAGTTGCTGGGAGGAGGCTCAGACAGCTGTTGGCTGGCTGGGTGCTAGGAGCCCTGGCTGGACTTTGAGGTGATGCTCTCTAAAACCGCAAGGATTTCTAAGTGATTCTTCACATGTGGCAATTTCTCTCTTGTTGCCAGAGGCCTGGCTGAGGCCCAGAAAGACATGGCAAGGACTGCACGCCGCCTTCAGACTGCCTGCCTGAACCTGGACTCGAACCTGCGTCTGTCCGAGAGTGGTGCAGCCTGCTCGCTGGAGAAGCAGGCTCTGCAGGGGGCACGCTTGGAGCAGCAGCTTCGGGAGAAGGTCTGGGAGATGATTCAGCTCCAGAGCCGCTGGGATGGCGAGAAAGTAGAGCTGAACTCCAGGTGAAGATGTGATGGGGCCTAGCGAGCCAATGGGGCAATTCTCGGAGAGGTCTCCAGCTGGGGTCATGCTCCGGCTCCCTGCCTCTGTCTTTTCCTAAGAGCTTCCAAGGAAGGGCCAGCTGCACAGCTGATGTAAATTGGTGTCACTCCGTTGAAGCCCATGGACCAGCTCCCCAGCGGGTGTAAATCAGCATAGCTCTGTTGAAGCTAAAATGCCCAATCGTCAATTGGTGTCAATTCTTTTAGCATCATTCATGTCAGTGGGATGCAGGGGGCTGGGCTGATTTAGGCCAGCTGAGGATCTGAGCTCAAAGCAAAATCTCCTCTCACCCAAGAAAAGGGTGCTCTACCCAGGGCAGGAGGGATTCCACTTCAGGGGCAGGTGGAGCCACCTGGGACTGACTCTAACTAAAATCAAACACCAAACCCTCCTTTGATCCTGTTGTTTTCATCACTGGTTTTAAATAACCAACACAGATTGAAAGGGGAAGGGGGGCAGCGGTTCACGCTACAGGCAGGCGTGGGAGTGATCTCGGCTGCACTCTGCATGTAAATAATGCCACTGATCTGTCAAGGATTCTTCTGAGATGCTGATCACTAGGTTAGACCTAGGAAACAAGCCAGTGACAGGATGCGATCTCATCCCCCTCCCCCTCTTCCAATGGCATGTTTTGGGGACCCAAGGTGAACTTGCAGAGGCCAAGAGGGCCATATAACCACTATACCTAGGCAGACAGGCTGTGATGCGTTAATGGAATCTGACTTCCGCTCAAAGTGATGCAGCCACGAACAGATTAAACCCACAGAAGTGTTTTCTAAGAAGTAAAAGGCCCCAAACTAGAGAAGATAAACACCCGGAATCCATTGGTTAGAAGCTGAAAGCCAGAGCTGATCTGGATGACTGCAGAGCCGCAGGGGGACAGCTGTCCAGTCAGGAGCGGGCTTTGTATCCAGGTCAGGGTTGGGATCACCAGTGGAGCTCTGAGGGGAAGCCTAAGACTGAAAGGTGTTGGGCCCAATCCTGCAACTGACCCAAAGCTTGTGTGGAACGCTGCTAAAGCCAATGGACGGCGGCTCTATGCTAGCACAGAAGCCTACCCACGTCCAACAAATTGTGGGGTTGGGGCCTTTGAGACAACATTCCCCTCCCATTCTCAGCCAGCCAGGCCAGGGCTCCCAAGCTTAGGGAAAGAGAGTGAAGAATGATATTGGCTGCAGCTTCTTCTTATTCCTCTGATATTGATGTTGAGAAATGTGCTAGAAAAATCACTCAGTAAACACCATGGACTATTTAACGCACTTCTTCTCATGTTCCTGGAAATGACACAGTAGATACCCTGGAAATAGCATTCTGTGGCCCAGGAGGTTGTTGTTCAGCAGAATTATGGTAAATCAGTGACAAATTTCCCAGCTGTGTAAAGTTTTAACTCTCCTCATTCCACCCTCCCTTCCTATCGCTCAGCGATCCTCCTGGCTTGGTGCCTCTTTGGTTAAGGTCATTACCTCTGAAATGTGTCAGGTGTTCACCCCATCCATCCAGTTCCTGTGTGTAGATCTCACCTTGTACGAACAGCTGTTCTCTGCATTGAACTGTCTCTGAATGCCCTGGAGGGACTGAAAGGTGCTGGGGAAATGTCAGCTTTGCCATTGAGCCCCTGGTGCTTTCTTCACTCTGCTCAACCTGCTCTCTGTGCCCGGCTTGTATCTTTCAGGATAACAGAACTGACTGCTTTAGGACAGAAACTTAAAGAACAGAATGCAAAGAAAGAGAAGACCATCTCTGCTCTAAAACTGGACATTCAGAAACTGGTACACATATCCACAAACTCCTCTCTCTCAATTAGTCAATCTCACACACACACACACACACACTCTTTCTGTGATCTTTCCGTATGTTCATCACTAAGAAACCACTTATCTTTGAACACAGGAAGTCATTAAAACTGGAGAGCTACTGGAGGTGCAGGACCTGAAAGATGAAAGTGAATCTTTGCAGCGAATCGTGAACAGCATCATACAGGTGTGCTATTTCACTCACAGCAAAGTGCAAGGATGTGGTTAAGGCACTCGCCTTGGACTTGGAAGATCTGCATTCAAGTCCCTGCTGTGCCATAGACTTCCTGTGTGACCATGGACAAGTCACTTAGCCTCTCTGTGCTTCAGTTCCCCATCTGTAAAATGCGGATGCCCTGTTTCACAAGGTTGCTCAGCTACTACAGTAATGGGAGCCATATGTACCTTAGATCAATAGAGAACTAAATCCAGTAAGGGCCCCTTATGTCTATATTGTGAATGGTTTTAATTTGGTGATTCAGACCATATGGCTCAATAGTGGAAATTTGATGACTAATTGTGTATTAAAGACAACACTATAGTTGATGGTACAGATTCTTTGCTTACCCATGTGTTGGAAAGGAGTATGTCAGGTATCTAAGAAGGCACTAGAGCAGAGCTGTTAGTACAGGTTCTGTTATTGTACACTTTGTTCTTCTGAAAGTTGGCTCAATGATTGTTTGAAATCAGACCTCCCATCTGGTGCTCAGCTCATGCTGTTGTTAATCTGATGCATGTACTAGGTAATTCCATGGCTCATCAGGCTCTGATTGTCAGTCCCATTTCTAGAGCTGGTGCTTGCTTTTATAACAATAGGCCCTGATTCAGCAAAGCACTTAAGCGTGGGCTTAAGTCCCATTGACTGCAGTTGTATTTAATGACTTTGCTGAATCGGGGCCATCGTACTGACACTCTTATGCAGGCACCAGTCACAATTTAAACAGCTGTCCATGGAACCCTAGCATAGGAGCTCTATGAGGCAGTGTTGCCTAGTGCATAGAGCACTGGATTAGGACTCAGAAGAATTGGCTTCTATTCCTAGCTCTGCCACTGACTGGTTGGGAGACCTTGGGCAAGTCCCTTTCCCATTCTCAGCCTCAGTTTCCCCATCTATACAATGGGCATAATGATACTAATCTCCTTGGGAAAGTGATTTGAAATCTCTGAATGAAAAGAACTAGGCATTATTATTTTGAGCTGCCCATCTAGCAAAGCTATAGATGGCTTTATGCACGTACAATTGTGTGCCTAACTGAGGGCCTGCGGAGTATGGATGTTACTGGGAGTTGCAGATGCTCAGCATGTCTCGTGATCGGGTGCTGAGAGCTTGGTTAGGTTGGCAATTGGGCATGCAGAATCTCTTATCTCCATGTGCACTGGACACTAACGTTGCTCCTGGTTTGGGTGCACAGTTCTCTTCACCGCTTGTGTTTGTTTTGGGGTTAAAGTGCATTTCCTGATAGTGTAGCCAAGGTCAATATTTTCAAATGTGGATCCCCAAGAGCTGGGCACTAATTACATAGGGCCTGATGCAGGAAAGCATTTCAGCACATGCTTTACTTTAAGGTCATTGACTTCATGAGCTTAAAGTTCAGCACATGCTTACGTGCTTTCCTGGACCAGGGCGTTCTGTAGGCCCCAAGTGCTCATGTCAGAACCGAATTAGGCTAGTTAGTGCCTAGGTCAGCACGGAGATGTCTGCAATAGCGATCTGGGTTTAAATAGCTTTAAGGGCCTCCCTTTCAGAAGTGCTGAGCATCCCCAGCTCCCGCAGATGTCAGCAGGAATGGGGGCTCTCAGGCCTCATTTCAGGCCTCCCACTTGGCAGTGGTGGCTGGGTTGCTCTAGTGTAGCTGGGAGGTTGAGTGCAGAAGATAACAGCAGTTTGGCTTTGTTGGGATTAACCCCCCCACCCTTCTCTCCCCAGCTGGCTCTGGCTGATGCTGAGAGTGCAGGGCCCCTCTCACTGGACAGCGTGAGGGCGACAGGTGCAGAAGACCCTGGCAGACAAACCTCCCCTTTGCGCTCTAGCTCTTCACATCACAGGCGGGCGTCGCCATCCCGCGCCCACTCCCCATTGCGCCAGGATGCTGTGCTGCAAGCCGTGCAGAGTGCCCTCCAGAGGCGACAGCAGCGTGAGCAGGTGAGGACACTGCCTCGAGCTCTGGTCAGCCCCTCTCATTCCACTCAAAGTCAACATCCCAGGAAGTCTCTGCCGACAGACTGGGGCTGGTTTCCCTGAGGAGCAAAGTAATGGCATTGCATCCAGTGGAATGCTGCATCCCAAAACGTCTGTGGGGGATGAAAAGAGGAGAGGCAGCTCTGTCAGTCTCAGAGGCGGGGGCTGGGAGGGCAGGATCAACAGCTAACGGAAGGGCAGGCATGAAGGGAATGAGCGTAAACATGATTTCTTGGAGCGTCGTTTCTGTGCGGGATGGACTGGCCAGCCACAGCCTTTAATAGTGGGCCAGGCATATTGACCTGCAATTCCTTTCATCTCCAACTTCCCTGTGTTCACCCAAAGAGAGACAGAACCGCCCACAAGGGAAGCGAGGGATCTCAGGAGCATCTCTCCAGATAATAAGAGAACCTGGTTGGGGCCTTATGCTGCTTAGGTGCTGACAGGGGGACAAATAACATGGGAGGAGCAAAGGAACAGGCCAAAGGAGAGAGCATGAGATGGAGAAGGAAAAGGAAAGGCCAGAGCCATGAGGGTGCCACTCTGAGGGGCTGTGGAGAGCCAGAAGATGGGGCACGGAGGTGTCAGTTCCTGTAGACAGGGCCCAGCTCCTGAGTGTGTGGCTCCGTCAGTCTCCACTCCCTTTCGCACCAAGGGCAGGTGTCAATAGACATGCAAGGAGGGTCTGCTTTACAGCACCTTGCAGGCCACTGATGACTTCGGCCTGAAGGCTCCAGCCAGGGCTGTCTCAGCATCTCCACGTGGGGACCTGGGGGTGAGCCCTAGCCCTGGTCTCTTGTTGCCTGGAGCAGCGGGAGTGGGAAGCACCAGCCCAGAGATGGGAGCGTGTGCTGGGTGGGGCTGGGCTATCCCATGGGTGGTGATGGAGCCCCCAGATAGAAGGGTAGTGGTTAGGGTTACCATACGTCCGGCTTTTCCCGGACATGTCCAGCTTTTTAGTCCTCAAATCCCTGTCCGGGAGGAATTTCCAAAAAGCAGGACATCCCTGGGAAAATAGGGAGGCCTGGTAAGGGGACCGCCTCCTCCCCGGGCTCCAACTTTCCGGGGCCAGGCGGCAGCTGTTCGTTCTCCCCACCTGGGCAGCTGGACTTGGGAGCAGCCGCTGCTGCAGCTCCCACTGCCGTGGGGGGAAGCAGCCAAGCATGTGGCGCTCAGCGGCTGTGGCACTCAGCGGCTGCGGCTCTGGCGCCCGGGGCGTGAACCCTCTGAGCCCAGGCCTGCTGCGGGGACCCAGCTGGTGCAATCCTGCGGGCGGCCCCGGAGTGGGGGCAGCAGGCCCCAGCCCCCCCCGTCCTGCTCGGGTTGCACAGGGGAACGAACGGGGCTGCCGATGCCTCTGCCCCGGGGCCATCCGCGGGATTGCACCAGCTGGGCAGCCAGCCCAGAGGCGACTGGCCAGGGGCTGGGTGCGCGCAGCGTGCGCGCTGGGTCACCACAGCAAGCCCGGGCTCGGAGGGTTCGGGCCCGGGCGCCAGAGCGGCAGCCGCCGAGCGCCATGTGCTTGGCCGCTTCCTCCCCCCGCGGCAGTGGGAGCTGCAGCAGCGGCTGCTCCTGAGTCCCGCTGCCCAGGTGGGTAGAACGAACAGCCACCGCCTGGCCCCACAGGCTGCCCCCCTACTCTCCCTCCAGGTTCCTCCTGAGTCCTGCCTGCGCTCGGGGCCAGGCTGGACTCACTCACCCCGGCCCCGCGCTCCCCCTGCGTCTCCCGGGCCTCCCTCTAGCGCTTGCGGAGGGAGGAGGAATGGTGGGGGAAGGGTTGGTTGTTTTTTTTCCCTCTGCCGCTGTTTCCCCCCCCCCGGTCACCCTGGGGGCGGAGTTGGGGCGGGGCCAGGGGTGGGGAAGGGGCAGAGTTGGGGCAGGGGCCCCGTGGAGTGTCCTCTTTTTGCAGGATTGAAATATGGTAACCCTAGTAGTGGTTGTACCACCATGCCGTGAGGGTGAGGGGATGTAACACTGGGGCACAGGGGAGGGTCTGGGGGATTTACTAGGGATGAAGAGGAGCCACGGAGCAGCCCTTCAGCCAGTGCAGCTTATTGTGTGGGCCTGGTTTGAAAGCGGCATCAGGCTGCTCCTTGAAGGGGAGAAAGTCAGCAAGGCACAGCTGCTAGCTCAGGGGTTGGGGGGGTGATGAGTTTAAGCCATGTGACGCAGCCTTGAGTAAGTTAGGTAACTGCGTCTCAGGGTCTGCCCTTCACTCACTCACCAGGATAGCAGGGATCTGGCCCTGTGCGTGTGTGCGCGCGCGCTGTGCCATATGAAGCGGCGTGCAATATGCTCTTTACCCTTGTGCCTTATTTTCCATTCTGTGGCTAGGAATTGCAATTGCAGCTGGAGTCTGCCCGGGACATGCTGGGGGCCGTCAGGAAGCAACTGTCCGATTGCCAGCAGGAGGTGCAGGTGGCAGAGCAGCAGCTGCAGGAGCAGAGGCAGGAGCGTGAGGAGCTGGCCAGAGCCCTGCAGGATTGCAAGCGGGACTTGCAGCACTGTAAATCCTCAGTGGAGATTCTGAGCAGGTGCACATGGGAGCAGGATAGGGGGGATCGATAATTACTGTCAGGAGCCACCATACCCCTGGGGTGGCCTGGCTGAGGACGGAGTCGCTCTCCCACCCCCAAGGGTAATGCATGTGACAAGCCTGTGGTATGGCCCAGATTGGAAAGGGTGTCACTCCATAGTGCTGTGTTCAGGATTAAACAACCCCTGCAGATGTTCAGCCTTTGGAGTCTCAGTCCAAGCGAAAGGGAACCGCCCCATTGCAGGTCTCTGGCTTTTTGGGCTCATTCAGACTGCTCATATTACTGGAGCTGGTCTAAACTTTTTGCTCCAAACTTTTATTGGACAAAAATATGGCTGTCTTTGGAAATGAACATTTTCACTGAAAAGTTTTCTTTTCTTTTATTAATTATCTGGGTTTTTAACCAACAAAATCCAATTGTTTCAGCTTTTGGGCTTTTGATTTCTTTCTTTCCCCTTCTCTCCTTTTTTCCCCCTTCCCCCATATGGAGGAAAAGGGAAAAAAGGGAGAGAAAGGGAAAAAACCTCCAACACCAAAACCTCAGCTTCCTGTTTCAAAAAACAAAACAAAAAAATCATTTTTGTTCTTTGTTTTTGACAAAAAAAGGAAAATTTCAGATTAAGTTATGAAACACGTTTCAACATCCATTTGTGAGCAGCTCTCCATTGTAATGAGACCCAATGATGTATACAGACATGGACTGGTTAGCAGGCAGAGAGGAGAATGAGTTCTGTCCTCCATGCAAGTAGAAGGTTCTGAGGAGCTTCCAGTCTGAGGACTGGGGCTCCAGATGTGACTCCACCAGATGTTGCATCCTTGCAGACCCTCCCACCTGCCTCCTCTAGTCACCAGCCTGTGAGAGAAGGTTCAGAACAGTCATGCCACTGAAATTCCTGATGGGAAGAGCAAAGAGATTGAAGCCAGGATGTTTCAACAACATGAAGCTAATAGAGGAGGTATCTGAGCCTCTAGCTATTATCTTTGGAAAA